GGTCAGCTTTGTCTTGCTTACGTGGCCACTCGGGCCAACACTGCTGATATCTTCACCAAGGGACTTCAGCCTTGTGATCATCAGTGTTTCTGTACTGTTCTAGGCCTTGTGCCCACTTGGCCTCACTTGCTCACTTCTTGACTCTGCTTGTATTGTGATCTCTATACATATACCTGCATGCTTACACTTGCTAGGTTGTGATCACTGTATTGCTTGTTCTCGTTTATATAACTCTGCATGTGAACTGGCCTTGTGGCCATTTGCTTGTGCTCAGAATGCGTGGTGACTTCGTGATCCACCCTGAGCTTGCTTTGCTTTTCTTGACTGGTCTTGTGACCTCTTGTTCTCCCCCACTTTGCCTATGGGGGTGTGTCAAACTTATATGCTATAGTGGGGTAGCCTGTATAGGGTACAACTAATGTTAGGGTTAGTACTTGTACCCACAATTCTATCAATGCAGTCATTCCTGATTCTTACTTTGTAACAACCCAACGAACAGCAACTTCGACCACAAGCTGAGCCGCACGTCTGCACCATCTGCCCCGAAGCAGCACTGACACACTCACCGTTTCCGGAAAAAAAATGCTCCCGGCCCAGAAATATTCAAACCTTTGGACAAGGTTTACAGCGATTTCCTGTGTCTTACCGCTCGGGGACTTAAAGGGGAGAATTACACGACCTTCATTGACGCAGCTACACGTTTCGTCTGGGCAGCCAACGTCGAAAACCGCTTCCACGCCTTCGACTGCTTCTACCCATGGCTGAAAATGGCGCAGACGCAGTCAGAAAGAAAACTCAAGGCATTCCAAACTGACGGAGCCCACGAATACACAGGAGACAGGTTTCGCAAGTTTTGTGCCGAGGAGGCCATCAAGCGGATTATCTCCTTACCCTACGCCCACGAACAGCATGGGTTAGCTGAGTGAACCAACAAGAGCCTCGCGAAAAAAATGAGGCCCTCATGAAGCAGTCGGCCGTTCCAACTGCTTATTGGCCCTATGCAATGGCCCATGCTGTGCGACTGCAAAACATCTTGTTCTCGAAGGCCCTGCCCAACAACAGTTATGCGTTCAAGGAGTGGACGAGAGGTAACCCCGACACCTGGATGCCGAGGGTTTTTGGGTGCATGGTACAGTACCGACCCACACTGGCCGAACCGGAAAATTTTGAAGATCGCGCCAGGTGGGGTATCGAACCCGAGTACTATGAATGGACCATTCTCGACTTCGCCACCCACCAAGTCACGCATTCACGTGATTGCATCTTCTACGAAAGTCTGACACTGCCACTGTTCTGCCAGCACCGCACTGCACAAGAAGTATCGGACCACATTTATCTAGGGGAGCACAGCTTCGCAACAGATCAAGACGAGGTCGCAAGGCAGAGAAAGTGCCAGAATATCAAATCGAAAGCGAGCCATCCGTCACTCCCGTTACAGGCGACTTCAACACACCGACATTCATCGCAACTGACATCGAACCAAACGGTGCACTTCAAGCTCGGCGTAACTACGAAAGTGCTGAGAACCACTCACCCATGGAGGAGGACCCCAACTTGGACATCTCTCGCGACAGCCTTCGCGAAAATCCTGGCGACCACAAAGACGAAGACGTCGTTGTAAGTCACCAACACCGAGGATCGCCCCTACTTCGGCATGACCGGGTTACGCATCCTCGGCCTCGCTGTAGTTGTTCGTTCACGACACCCAATATCTTATTGAGCCCACGACAGTTCGCCAAGCCCTGCAGGGGCCCAACAGTAAGAAATAGAGAGCAACCATGGCCGCCGAAGTAGCAGCACTTAAGCGATGCGGCACGTGGAAGCTGGTGCCACGATCAGCAGAAAAGGGGAGGATGATACTCAGCGGAAAATGGTTTTTTCCGAATCAAGACGCTATCGGACGGATCAGTTGACAAATACAAAGTGCGCTGGGTCGTGTGCGGACTCATACAAACGCAGTATATTGATTACGACCGGACATTTGCACATGTCAGACGACATACCTCGGTCCGGGAGTTTAATATGCATCACCGCCATCAAGCAGCACCCGCTCCGCCAAATTGACGTCTCCAACGTGTTCCTGTACGCCATCGACGATGCAATCATCTTCGTCAAACAACCGCATGCATTCAAAGAAGACGACTCAGTGGTGTGACTAGTCCGAAAGTCGATGTACGGCATCAAAGAGCCATTGCGCCAGTGGCAGCAGTACATTCGCACGGTCCCTATCGAGCTCGGGTTCCAGCAGCTCCCGCACGACCAGGGAATGTATCGCCTGGAGTCCCTCGGGGGGTACATTCTACGCGTCGCCTACTTGGACGACCTCCTGTACACCGGGAACGACACGGAGCTGCTCGATCGCTTCGAAAGGAACATCAAGGAGAAGCTGGAGGTGACCGTCTCCCACGACGTCACTCAGTTCCTGGGGCTCAACATCACCCAGTCCGCTGACACCATCCACACATCGGCCGCCAAGTACGCCGAAACACTCACGAAGAAATTCTGCATCGCGCCCGTTAACCTCACGACCCCATTTTGCACTCCTCCACCTAACCACGAGCACGACACTACGCCCCTCTCCGCAACTGATCATCGCCTCTACAAGCAGCAGCTATGCTGTCTCTTGTTCGACGCTGTCACGTGCCATCCGGATTACGCCGCTAGCTATCTCGCCCAGTACCTGCGCCGACCTGAAACAGAGCATATGGCGGACCTATGGCGAGCGCTACAATACTGCGTCTCTACGCCTGACGTCGGCCTAACCTACAAAGCGAATCTAATGGCTAACCTGTAGCCGAAGGGGCTAACCTGCAGCCAAAGGGATATGTCGACGCTGATCACGCTAGACACAACGACAACATACGCTACTGCACTGGATTCATCTTCAAACTTGAACTTGCCGGGCCCATCATCTGGAACACACAGAAGCAGGAACTCATTGCCCTTTCGTTAACCGAAGCTAAGTTCATCGCTGCAAGCGCAGCAGTTCGCGAAGGATATTGCATGATGGAACTCCTGCAGGAAGCGAGAGGTAACGATGGACGGGTAATTCAAGTTACTGTCCGACAATCAGAGCACCATTGAAATCGCGAACTGTCAAAATGCAGTACAACACTTTTAAGGTTGCATACTTCTATCTCACTGCTGCTAAATCACACACCATTCCACTGTTCTTAGTCACACATGGTGCACCAGGTCCTTCAGCGCTTCGGCTTTCAGTTCTCCTCGCCACAGGCCACTCATCTGCCTACAAGCCACTCGCTCTCAGCTCCACCTTCGGACGAGTCCTTAGAGCCGAGTGGTCAGTATCCAGAGCTTGTGGGCTGCCTCATGTACCTGATGACTTGCACTCGACCTGACCTCGCATACCCTCTCAGCATCCTGGCGCGCTACGTTGCGCCCGGGAGACACCGACCAGAGCACTGGCGGGCTGCTAGGAGGGTGCTGCGATACTTGTGCAGTACAGCAGGCATGGGCCTTGTGCTTGGAGGACGGGGTCCAGTTGTACTCACTGGACACTCAGACACTTCTTGGGCCAACGACCAGGAGACTCGGCGGTCGTCACAGGGTTACACTTTCAGTCTCGGCGCTGGTTCTGTCTCCTGGAGCTCCACCCGCTCATCTTCTGTACGTAGTTTCAGCTGTGAGGCCGAGATCTACTCTGGTTCTATGGCTGCTCAGGAGTTACGCTGGCTGACCTAATTGCTGACAGACTTGGGTGAGCGGCCTCGTTCCCCTCCAGTTCTGTACGTCGACAACTAGGCCACGATTGCCTTGTGTCGGGAGCAGAGACTGGAGCACAGAATGAAGCACATTGCTCTTCGTTACTTCCTCGCTCGAGAGTTACAGTAGTGTGGTCAGCTCCGCCTTACTTACATGGCCTCACGGGCCAACACTGCTGATATTTTCACCAATGCACTTGTGTCTGGTGATCATCAGCGTTTCTGTATTTCTCTAGGCCTTGTGCCTACTCTGCCTCACTTGCTTACCGCTTGACTTTCCATTGTACTGTGATCAATATATATACATGCATGCTTACTCTTGCTAGGTTGTGATCACTGTACTGCTTGTGCTTTTATAACTCAGCATGTGAACTGGCCTAGTGGCCGCTTGCTTGTGCTCAGACTGCGTAGTGATCTTGAGATCCACCCTGAGCTTTGTTTTTCTTTGCTTCTTTGCTTGACTGGTCTTGTGACCGTTGGTTGTTCTTGCTATCCCACACTTTGCCTATGGGGGTGTGTCAAAATGCATTTATATGCTTGTAGGCTGTAGTGGGGTAGCCCATATATGGTACAAACCTTTTAGGGTTGCATACTTGTATCTCACTGCTCCTAATCACACACCATTCCGCTGTTCTCATTCTGACACGAACAAGCCAGGCTTCGTTAACCGCACGAAGCACATCGCTCTCCGTTACTTCTTCGTGAAAGACAAAATTGACAAGGTCAAGCTCACCTACTGTCCAACTGGTGAAATGGCAGCAGATTTTGTGAGATTTACTGACGAAGAAACTGCCACTTCAGAAGTTTCAGTACAGCGTCGTCCTGTGCGGAGTCAACAAGAAGTCCCACATGGCTCACCTTCAGGAATAAAGGGGAGTGTTGGAATAACCGAAATGTATTTTCACTATTCCATAAGGTGTCGCCTTACCGCACCTGTTCTTAGCGAAACCACACATGTACCGCTACCGTGTTAGCTCGTATAGAGCACGCAGATCAACAGTTGCAAGTCAACAGTCACGACCAGGCCTCTGGATAGGTTTGGAAGCACTCTTAGTTGAAAGGGCAGGTTGCCAAAGCTGGTCTTTCAGTAAGGGTGGGGCAGCCATGTCAGTCTTGTGTAACAGTGTTGGCAGAATTGTTACTCGTGCTCGTCAGTGTACTGTGGACCTCGGTTAGTTGTACCATTTTTTTTTAACCAACGCTTAATGTTTAGGTTGACATGACATGACGTGCAAAGAACAATAAAATATATGACTAGAACTAGAACAACAACAGGACCTACATATGGGATGGTCTGGCCTGGTCCGGTTCCAGCAGAATACTCCTAGCAGGGAGCAGAGCAGCACAACAAGTCAATACAGAAACTCCTGGGCAGGACAGCGCTTCTTGCTAGCATTGAACACGGCTACCACATTCACCCAGTTCAGACCATCACTGGGCAGGAGCGCTGCAGTCATCAGATCGCCCCGTTTGGCGTCGCCCAGGCAGGTCTGCTTCCACGTCTTGATACGGTTCTGGCGACTGAAGCCACGCTCGCACTCCACCGTGCTGAGGGGGAGCACAGCTACGGCCTGCCACAGCTGCACAAGGTTCGGGTACGCTCCCATGTAGTCAGTTGACTGGAGCATGAGCGAGAGCGACTTGTGGAAGCTCATGTTCCCGTGGTTGGTATCCATGGTGTGGAGAAACAACGGTAGCTCCCTCTCGCACGCCTTGAAGCACACACCTGCCAGGGTGGGAGAGCAGAGCAGTGAGAGGGGCGATCGGGGCGTATAGGAGGTGTTTAACAGCACACCAAGGTACACACACACACACACAGCAAACAGCACATTGCAGGCACAACCAGGTGGCGTACCAAAGAGGCGGTGGTGAAACATGAAGTCTAGCATGCCCAACCACTCGCGGCACTTCTTCATCCGCTGCGCGTTGTCGTCGCGATAGCACGATGGCCGGAAAAGCTTGGAGCCGGCCAGGTTCTTGAGGTCTTCCAGGCGGAACTCCAGTCGCGCAACGCAGACCCTCGCAAACTTCTGGCACACCGCCTTGCAGGAGTAGTAGTCCCCGCCAGTCTTATGGCCAGGGATCTTGCGCTCGTGAAGCACGAACTCGTGCTCTGCAGCTTCGCCGTTCTGGTCCACGCCTTTGACGGTGACTTCGCGGTGCTCGGGGTTGCCGTGTTTCTTCAGGAACGCGCAGAGGAGGGGCGATTGATCGTTGCCGAAACGATCCTCGCAGTCCACGTAACGCACCTCGATCGTCCGGCAAGCGAGTGACACCTCCCCCGCGACCACAGTGATGTCAACCTGTGAGTGGGCGTGGGATGAATAGTTGCTGCCAGAGGTTGATGTACAATGGGTCTGAACGGTGCACAACAACCGGGAACATGGCAGTGAAACAAACGCCTATATGTACAACCAAAGCACACCACATGTCACCTGCTGCTTCTGGAACTTGGCGTTGAGCTCGTTGAGCACGGCAAGAATGTCTGCAAGGAAGAAAAGCATGAAGTGGAATTTGAAAGAGGTGACCGTTTCGTATAGCGCGTGCTTGAAATCGTGCAGCAGGACGATTGTCGCCGGCAGAACCTTGGCGAACCGCTTGACTGCCTCTCCTCTAGAGAGCCATCGCACGTCGTGGATCCCCTGCAGCTCCATGTTGGTTTCGCAGATGTACTCCTGAAGGTGCGCGAATCGCCGGTGCCAGTTGCTCGACCTAGAAAGCTGCTCCGCCACGTTGCGCACCGCCTGGTCTATGATGTTGAACTCCGTCACCTTCTCAGCGGCATCCTTCGCGGCCAACGCCTCCCTGCTCAAGGTAGAACGGAGGAAACGAGCGATTGAAGTGAGTGGGCAGTACATGATCAACACACACGTGCCATAAAGCCAGTAACAATGACGGACTTACCGATGTGCGATGCAGTGGCATGACACGAGATAGGGATTCCGCTGCCGGAGTCGTGCCACAACACCATTGCTGGTGCCCGTCATTACTCTGGCGCCGTCGGTGCTGATTCCAACAATCTTGGACAAGTCAATGCCCACGGCGTCAAGGTGGGTCAGTAGCACGTCGACTAGACTTGCCGCGTCACACTTGTCAACTGTCAGCAGCGTGAGGAACTCGCAGACGCTCGATCCCTCCTTCATGAAGTGGACGTAGACGATCATGTGCTTGCCGCGCGCCTTGTCAGTACTCTCATCGAGCTGAATGGAGATGTACGGGCTCGCCGAGATCTGCTTCAGTTGCTCTTGCCGCATGTACTTCGCTTCAGCATCTAGCAACTCCACGAAACCGTACCTGCATGATACAAGCACAGAGGTTAGCACGTGATAAAACAAGGCAGTTGTAACGGAACAAGTACAACGACACCAAGTACCCCGAAACTTACTCCGAAAAGTAGTTTCCCTTGGAATCCAAGGGAAGGTTCGGGACTCCGAGCTCGGCCATGAACTTGATGGTGCCCACGTAGGAGGTGATTGGCGCCTCCGACTTGCAGATGTACACGGTAGTCTTGAGAGCGGTGATGATGTGAAGAGTGCTGCGATCCAACCCCTCGAACTCGCTCAGCAGCGTTTGACGAAGCTTCCGGCTCTCCTTCGACTTCATCTCGGCGTGTGCGTCCTGGTGTGTGGTGGAGCGCTGGTGCGTCCGGATGCTCCCCTTCTGCATGTCACGCCCTCCACTGCCTCCCTTGCCGTAAGCCGTTTTCGCGCCTTCAGCTCCATGTGCCAAGCACGTGCTGCATCTCAAAATGGGGAAGCCAGCGTCATCACGAGTTAAAATTAGCCACGGAAACAAAGACTCCCATGAAGTCTTAAATCGCTTATGAGCTTTAGCGAAAGAGATCTCGGGGTAACGGGCCATCTCTTCGACAGTCGGCAGGCCGTCTTCTTCCTCCTCGTCATCACTTCCCTCGTCCTCCACTCGTCGAATTGGACGTGCCGCCCGCTTCACAGAGGGCTTCGGTTGTCGCCACCATTGCTTAGCACTGCCACCGCTTGACTCTTTGCGCTTCCTGTTCGCAGAGTCGCCAGCCGCATCGCCTATCTCCGTTTCTGGAGCCGTCGCTTCTAGAGGTGAGGGTTCCTCCGTGGTAGTGCAAACTTCAGGTGAGCGCAGGTCACGCCCTGATTCATCCGCGCGGGTTTCGTCCTCGGTTGAAGCAACTACGGGCTCCGGATCTGACAGATTCTTAGCGGGGGTTCGTAGAAAGCTGAGGCCCGTTCGCGGGGGTGATTTTTGGAGTTCATTGCGTGCCTCGTCGTCACCATCGGTGGTTTCGTCAGCAGCCATGGCGAGGGCCAGAGGGGTGGTTGCAGGAGCTGGGCCTACGCTAGCTGTTGGGAGAGCGTGGTGGTGGGGTGGTGTGCAAACCCTAGACCAGACGAGATAGCGAGGAGGCAGAATTGAGAAATGAGACGAGGAGGACTGGGTTGGGTGCGTGGGAGAGACTGGTCGGTGGGTGGGGGCCTGCTGGGGAGGGAAGACGAAGCTTCTATGCTGGACACACCTCCTGCACGAAGCAGGTGCGTGTGGCGCTGCGCGGCATTGCCAGCTGTGAAGATTGCAGGTGAGAGCCTGTGGCAGTGGCGACGCGAGCCGTCAAGGCGACGCGCACATCTGCTGACTCATGCAAAACGCCGCTAATCACGGCCCAAATCTCGTCAGTACCCCCCCCCCCCCCCCCCCGCCGCGTGAAATCAGTGTTAACATAATGAACACTTTTTCGGCTAAGGGTGCCTCATAATACAAGTTTTAAAAACAAGGGCGATCACCTAAACCCACCCTTATAGTAAGGGCCATAAGGGTGTTTTACCCTGATATCGAGAGACCTGGTCACGACTGTTGACCGTCTTCGTCAGAAGTTGCGAGCTGCATTGCTAGTCGCAACCTTCTCGGAGGTTACGAAGACGCAACAAGTAACCGCACGAATCGCAATAGTCACAGCTGTTATAGCGACTCCTATAAAACAATTGAATAAGGGAATGCACCCCTCAGAGTAGATGGCTAGCTAGGAACTATAAAATTTTATTGTAGTGCTTTATTAAAGCAATCTTGTTATTTACATTTCCTATGAAATATGTTCTCCTATGTAATACCTCCGCTGTCTTTACTTCTGTACTCTAGCGGACTTTTCGTATCGAAAGATCATTTAACAACATCAGAAATGATTCAGGCATGGCTTAGTTTTTTTTTTTTAATACGCATATGCTACTTCGCGCCGCCCCAAGCGCCCTGCAACCAGTGCCCAACCTTGGTTTTCAAGGTTCCCGCATAGCTTGGGTCCCGCAATATATTATGCATACGCCTTCTCTAGATTGTTCGGATCATTCAGTTTTAGGTGAGTTAGTTGTTATTTCGTGTACCGTGTATTACAACAGAGTCCAAAAATAAGGTTTACAACCTTAGCACCCTGCCTCTATCCAGATGGCAGGTGGGGCCAACCATGAACAGTAAGTGAAGGACAGCGTGGTGTTCACGGAGCCACATCATCAAAGGTTACGGGATCCTCTTCCTCAATTCACACGATTTAGACGCCAGGTGGACCTACCACAATGGAGATATTTCTGCACGCCGCATTGCTTCCATGAAACGGGTCAATGGAAACTTGCAGTCCAGTCCTGAAAAACTTGCAGTATGTTATGTCCGCAAAGTTAGGGGATGAAGCCATCGGATAGGAGTCACGCCGGTTTCTCGGGGAAGTTCGTTAAATGTTTTCCTGACGATGCTGCCCGCATTTAACACGAGCAATCCTGCCACATGTTGACACTGGTTCGTGCGAATCACATGCAAATCACGCGGGGCATAAGAACTCCGAAACTGATTCTGCTGACGAGAAGTTTGGGAAGTATCATACCTTTTGGATAAATATCTCCCCCGAGTTTGTGGTTCCTCTTACAAGTGCATGCTCGATGTTGCAAAACCGGCCACACGCAGCAGACAAGCGGATCTGGGCTTGTTGAAAGATATTTTCCCGCGTGCCTTGTCTGGGCACCACTGGTCAAACTGCCACGCCGCCAGAATCAATGTCCTCTCCCAAATCTGGCTGTTGCCTTCCCCCAACCAAACCCACACAACACCTCCGCAACACAGCCTCGTCGTCGCTTCTTGGTCAGGCTTGTCCGCACCGCACGCCCTTCCGCTCCGCCCATGTCCCCCTCCCCCCACCGCCTTTTTCGTGCGCATTTTGTGCAGCTGTTCTGGCCCACTCGCCGTTTCAGAAAAGTGAACCAATCTGACCTGGCCACCAGAGGCATGGAAGGCCAATCAGTTCCAACCGCGTAAATATCTTCCGTAGACATTTTCTTCCTGATTGCACAGTTCACCGGCTTCTACAGCGTGCCTTGCTTTCCGCGCCGTGCTCGTAGAATCGGGTGACTCACATCTCACGCCTTCCAGACAATCAGGAATCAGGTCGCGAGGGATGGTGGCTACTGTTGTCTCCATGGCGCCCCCTTCCGCTTGCTTGCTTCTCCCTCCCCCCTCCCTGGCTTGGCTTCAACCACCACTCCCACAGCCACCGCCACTTGAATTTCCAATCGCAAAAAAGCAAGCATGCCCTTGTTCCTCCAATGCTATCTCTGCCTCAGGCTGTCCCAAAAGGGATATGAATGAGGTGTTCATAAAATATTGGAAAACGTAAACGCAGCCTGCTACGAAGCCAACTGTCGTCTCACGGCGTTTAAATCACATAGTTTCTCACGCGAATCAGTGCTCAACCCGTTTCGTAGGCTCAGCAAGCACTCGCTCTCAACTATCGCTCGACTGTAAAACGAAGCCGAAATGGCACCGCCGGACTCGCCTCGCGCCGACGCGCCAACGACAAACGCCTATTACCTCACTCACGAGGTGCGCATTTAATACCTCGTAGGAAGGACAAGCGATGCCTCGTACATCTCGACATACGATGCTTTGTTAATCACGGCGTCTGCCATGCCTCTCCTTTGACGGTTCTCATTGTCTGCGCCTCCGTATCACACGTCTCCCACGCCTCGTGCCTCACTTCAGTTCCACGCACCTCACTCGCTGTATCTCACGCGAGCTGCTTCATTTGCAAGGATTTTATGAGAAGATTCGAATACACTGTCTCTACTTCCTCCCTCACGCGCCGCCTTCCGCGCGAGTCACACACGCGTCTTTCTCGTTTCGCCCACACCTCTCGGACTCGCCGCCGCATCTTGCTCCTCTAACGGACTCTTCTTTTTTTCCCGTCTCCGCTCTTCTTTCCCCCTCCCTTCCCTTTCCGTCTCCCTCTTCCGCGTCTCCCCTCAGGTGCCTCGATGGATCGCGTCGTATTCAACCGCGCCTGCTACAGTGCCCGTCATTCCCGCCGCAATCACCGCCGCCACTCCGTTCCCGTTCCTTTCGACTGCGCTCAAGCCGCTCCCGTTCTCCGCGCTACCCACCGCCGCCACCGGCGCGACAGCCGCGACCACGCTGGCCCCCCTCACGGCCTCCCTTCCTCTTTCCCCCCCGTCTTCCGCCCACTTTCCGCGTTCCGCCCATCTTCCCCCTCCTCCTTTCTCAAATCTCCCGTCATCCGGGTCCGCCCATACGTTTCTCCGCCCACGCGCATCTTACGCCGTCGAACGCGCCGTTCCCGATGCTGACAACCCATTTTCAGCTTTCCCCTTCTCCACGCAACAACCAGGAGGCTTCATCTGCCACCCGTCCCCGTTCTTCCCGGGATATCCCCCTCCGCTTCCGCCGACCGTTCTTGCCGCCGCATCCGCGGATGCCGCCGCCACCACCGCCGACGCCGCTGCCGCCGCTCTACCGTCATTTGCGGATGCGTCCCCTTTGCTTGTGAGGCCGCGGCCTCGCAACGCGATATCCGCGCTGCCGCGAGTAATTCCCGGCCAATTAGAATCAACTCGCAGGATCGACGAGTACGAAGATGATGCCGCAGCCCACGGCGCAAATCCCGCCGCATTCGACGGCGCGGATCCCGCGGAGGCCGCTGCTGCAGCCGGCGCCGAGCTGGGCGCACGCGAGCTCGCCGCGATTCGCGCGGTGATTTTGCGACACGAAGCCGCGTTCCGCGAGCAAGTCGCGGAGCTGCACGCGATTTGCGGCGTGCAACGCCGGCTGATGACAATGGCTCATCCCTCCGACAAGACGGGTGAGGCACCGCGTACCGCGGGAAACATCACGGCGGGGCAAGAGGCAGCGAGGGGCGGCAGGGAAGCAGGGAGCGATGATATGAGGGGAGATTCGAGAGGCGCGGATGTGGGGGGAGATGGCGGAGCGCGGGCGGGTATGGCGGAACAGGATAGCCCGCGGCTGGAAACGGCGAGCCGCGCGGGAGTGCTTCTCTTCGATTTGGAGCAGCTTCCTGGAAACGAAGACGCGGAAGAGATGGCGGAGGAAGGGGAGAATGGGAACTCGTGCGTTCGAGACCCACGCGCTTCGTTGATCGCGTCACCTTCGCCGGTACTAGCTCCTGCGCCTGCGCGCACGCCGCCGTCTTGCGCCGTCCCCACGCCCCCGCACGCGCACTCCGCCAACGGAGTTCCGCCTCCGCCAGTCCGCGCACCAGCTGCTGCAGCGGGCACAACATGCTCCGCGGATTCAAGCGCGGGCAGCCACGCGGGGCGTTGCCGCGGGGGAAGGCGGAAGAGACAAACCCCGTGCGATAACAACGCGGCCAACGCGCGGAAGGGGGAAAACTGTGGCGCGGACGGGGCGCCGCCTGCGGAGAGCGACGCCACGTCAGCATCGGGCGCGTTGGACACGCATGGTAACAGCATGCCACGTCAGCGTGGTGCGAAGAAGCAGAAGCGGGAAGGCGGCGGGGGAAGCGGAAGGGGCGGAGGCGGGGGAAAGGGCGGAGCGAAAGGGAGAGGAGGAGCCGGAGGAGGGGGAGGTAGTATCTTGACGGGCAGATCTGCCGGGCCTCCTTCCCCCCAAATCTCCCATTCACATAACACCTCCCCCAGTATTGCCTCTGCTCGTTACCCCTCCGCGGCCTCCCCTTCGCCTGCTCCGCCAGCTGTTGCTGCAGCCCAGCCGTCCCAGCAACCGCAGCCGCCCCAGCAGCAGTATCACCTGCCTGGCCTACCAGGATCGCTTCCCAACCCCCACCCTCCCTTCCCTCCCTCCGCTCCCTCCGCGCCCTCCGCGCACTCCGCGCACTCCTCCCTTGCCCCGTCCGCCCTTCCCTTCCACCCGTCATTCCCCTTCCCCTCTGCCTTCGCGTCTCCGTTCCCTCCTCCCACACCCCCCTCCAATCTCGCCTCCCCCTCCGCCCCACCACCCCTTTGGTCCTACCCATACCCATCTGCAGCACCAGCACCCGCAGCAGCAGCGCCAGCAGCAGACCTGGCATCAGCAGCAGCAGCATCACCAGCAGCGGCAGCGGCGGCAGCAGCAGCCAACGCGAGCAGTCTCTTTCCTGGCGGCTCTTCCTTCATCGGCTGTGCTTCTGGCGCCGCTGCTACAATGGCTGCCAGCACAGCTGCAGCAATAATGAGCGGCACGGCTGCTGCAGCCACGGCGGCAGCTGCTGCTGCTGGAGGGACGTTTGTCCCTGGCATGGCGTCGCCGCTGTATGCCTCGCCCATGCCGTCCAGTTATGGCATGCATTCCATTTCTGGCATGCCTGCACTCCCTGGGATGCCTTCTTTCTCCGGCGGACCCGCTTCCGGAATGTTTGCTATTCCGGGCATGAATCCTTATTCAGGAATGCATTCTTTTTCAAGCATGCCTTCTTTCTCAGGAATGGGTTCCAGTTCCGGAACGCATTCTATTTCCGGAATGGCTTCCTTTTCGGGAATGCCGTACACCTCAGGAGCGCCAGGCGCAGGCTACCTCCATCCATCCATGCTCGGCTCATTCCCACCGCCCCAACCTACACCCTACCGCCTCCCACTCCCCAGCACCACGCTCAACCCTACTGCCATGATGCTGCAACCAACCGGCTCAGCAGGGGAAGGAGCAGGGGGGAGACGGCCAGGTGGGAGCGCGGGAGCAAACGGGGATGTCCACGCGGGGTTCAAGAAGCCGCCTCCCCTGGTGCTGGTGAGGGATGGCAGCAGCAAGCAGCAGCGCCTGCTGCCGCCCGACCAAGCAGCCAAGGCATTCCCGGGGTATGCTCACGAGCCTACACCAGGCAGGCGGCAGAAGCAGCAGCAGCTCCCGGGGCAAGGCAGCGTGGCGAGCCCTCATGGAGGAGTTGGTGGGGCTGCAGGTGCTGCTGGTGCTTCCGCTGCTGCCAGCAGACAGAAACAGCAGCAGCAGCTGTTGCTGCAGCAGGGGGGTGTGTCTGTGCCAGTGCACAAACACGCGGGGTCTTCTAGGGATGAGGGGAACGGGGTGGAGCAGCTGGGTGGTGAGGGTGATGATGTGATGGAAGAGAGGAGTGGAGGCAGTGCGAGTGTGGAGAATGGGGAGTCGGGAGATGAAGGAGAGGCGGTGGTGGACCCTGTAGGGCTTCCAGAAGCAGCTGGCTGCCTTGGTTAACGGCGAAAGCAGAAAGGCAGCTGCGGGCAGCAGCTTCTGCTTTGACAGAAGGTGTTAATTTTGTGTGTACATAATTTGTTGCGTAGGTGTGATTTTACCTTTTTGAGATGGAGCATGCTAAAGTAGTAGCTTTACTGTAAGGAGTATCGGAATTCGGTAGATGCCTTTTGGTACTTGGTAGTTTACAACCGCTTGGAAATCATTTGAAACTGAAAACAAAGCGAATCTCCTGAAAGAATACCTTATCGCCAGTAAGGTAGCCTTGCCACGTGCACCAATACCCTTCCGCGCTTTTCCCAATGTCCTTTCGCCAAATTTCCTAAGTTCAGTTCGACCGGCCACGTGGACAACATCTGACGGCGCGGAGCAAGAGGCTAGAGAAAAACACACCCCGAAATAAGAACGCGCTAGGGGGTGGAGTGGATGCTGCTTTTGTGGCTGGGGGTTTCGCTCATCTATGCGGTGCATTTCGGTTTTCTAAATATGTGCAAGGTACAGAGGATGGCCTAGACTCATCGACATTCCCAGGACTCCTTTGTCAATTCGCCCGAATCCCGCCGATTCTCGCTCGATCCCTGCAACACACGCTTTTCCGGTTCCCTCTCAACTCCACCACACATCCCTTCCCTTCCCTGTCACCCATTACTGGTGTTGGAACAAAGATTACATTTCATTTTCCAAGCCTGTTGTTGGCTGGTCCCTGTCAGGCGTGTCTAGCGCACATCTGCTCACTCCGCCGCCTCTTTCAGCTCCTCCGAATAAGACCAACTAAGGAACGAGGAACTGAATCCTGTCGACCATGGCCATGGCGCAGCGGTCGCTACAGTCGCTGGAGTTCAGCCAGCTCAGGCGCGTCGACGGGCACCCGTCGGGCCTCAAAACGCCCAGCGCGAGCGGGAATGGCGTCGTGTCGCTGCTTCCCGGGTCGCAGCAGAAGCAAGTGCGCGTGAAGGGCAAGGCCCGGGTGAACAATGGCTTCGCGTGCCGTGCCTCGGGTGGCGTTGTTGAGCTCGAGCCCGCATCGCCCGGCAGTCCGATTCTCGGTGCGTGCTACGCGTATGCCGACCGAACCGCATTCGCCTTTTTTTTTTTTTTTTTTTTTTTTTTTTCGTGGCGCCAGGCTCAGGCTTCTTCGCTTATGATTGGTTCATGGTTTGGTTGGGCTGTGTGCGGCACACTTTGTTCTCATTCAATTCCCTACCACGCTCGACCGACCTAGTGACGAGATGGGGTGCACATGACATTAGGCGTCAAGAATAGATGGGCGTCGAAAGCACTCCCTTAAGTACTTTGCTTACCCGCCATCACAGCTGGTTGTGATAAGAAATAGGGAAGAAAAGGTGGACGTCGAAAGTACTGTCCTTATAGGGCTCATCCGTCGCGAATTAACGTTTTTCGTAAGTCCAATACTGACTCTGACCCGGGCAATCAAACTCGATTGCATTGCATTGATGATAACTTACTGTGAACTAAAATTGTCAGCACATGACCAACTTACTGTTGGTAATACCGCATGCATATTACTGATTGTCAATTAACTGACCACCTGTTTCTCGTGGCGTTCTCCCTGAGCAGTGCCTCGGCTACAGTACGCGGACTCGGTGTCGAAGACCGTTCGGCGCAAGACGCGCACCGTGATGGTCGGCAACGTGGCGGTCGGCAGCGACCACCCCATCCGCGTGCAGACCATGACCACCTCCGACACCAAGAACGTGCAGGCCACCGTCGAGGAGGTGAGTTACGCCGGCGACTGTATCGAATTGTCTGGTATCGCGTATAATTAGGAATCTAGGAATGAGCAGCGACCATCCTATCTGCGTGCAGACATGACCACCTCCGACACCAAGAACGTGCAGGCCACTGTAGAAAGGGTATGTTGAGTTGCCCTGTAACGCGTACGAAAAGGATTCTAGAGGTGGTCAGTGATCACGTATCCACGAGCAGGTGATTGGTGATGGCTGTGATGTGACGGCCAGCAACACGATGCGCGCCGGATTGGCCAACTGAAGCTGGTCAGCAGCGGACAGTCGCAACCATAGTCACTTGCGTCAGGACTTGGCTCTTCGTTAGCTCACTTGATTCTTTCTTCGTTAAAAAAGAAAAGAAAAAGGTTCTGTAAAATGTACTAGCAGTGTTGTAAAAACGTTTTCTCCGCGTCACTCCCTGCATCTCCGATCCCCGCACCTCCCCCCCTCCCCTTCCCCCCCCTTCCCTCCCTTCTCCCCACCCTTCCCCACCCCCCGCCCATCTCCTGCATCTTCTTGTGCGACTAGGTGATGCGCATCGCGGATCGCGGCGCGGAGATCTGCCGCATCACGGTGCAGGGGCGCAAGGAGGCGGACGCGTGCGAGCAGATCAAGAACAAGCTCGTGCAGGCCAAGTGAGTGCGGTTCACTGCGGTGCAGGCCAAGTGAGTGCGGTTCACTGCGGTGCAGGCCAAGTGAGTGCGGGTGGATTGATTGGTAGCGAGTTGAACTTGAGGCGACGAGTTGAAAGGTCGTGCAGGGCGTGGGGGGGGGATGGTTTGTGACGGAGACAAGTGTTGGGAAGGGAGAGAGTTTGGCAGAGTGATCCCTACGCATCTGCCCTCATCTTCCCTTCCTCACGCACCTGCCCTCCTCTTTCTTTCCTCCCTCGCGCACCTGCACTCCTCTATTTCCCCGTGCGCCCATTCCATCCGCCAACCCGATTTGTTTGCACCATCCGCAAATGCCGTTTCCTCGCACTCGCTTGCTCGCCTTCTAATTTCCGTTTCCTCTCTTACTCATTCTCTCTCTCTGACCTTCAAATGTTTTCCTGCTCTAATGTTGTCCTCTCGCCCCTTCCGCTCCCCGCACCACCTCCCTCTCCCGTCCCTCCCCCCTTTTTCCCCGTTCCTCCTTCCCCTTTCTCCCCCTCCCACCAACCTCCCCCCCCCCCCCTCTTCTCTCTCTCCCCCCCTCCGCAGCTACAACATTCCGCTGGTGGCGGACATCCACTTTGCGCCCACCATCGCGCTGCGCGTGGCGGACTGCTTCGACAAGATCCGCATCAACCCCGGAAACTACGGTAACCTTCCTTTGCCCCTGCCCCTGGTGACCTTTGAGTCGACTCAAAAGCCTCCTCATTTGACAAGATCCGCATCAACCCTGGCAACTACGGTATGCCACTACCCCTGTTCCTGCCCCTGACACTACCCCTGTGTGTTCTAAGTCGACTCAAAACGCATCAACCCCGGCAACTACGGTAACCCGCCCCTGCCCCTTCCCCATGACCTGCCCCTTCCCCATGACCTGCCCCTGCCCCTGCCATTGCCCCTGCCCCTGCCCCTGCCGCCGCCACTGCCTTACTTTTCTATCGCTCCTCGCTAGCTCACAATACTTACTGGCACGTTCTCTCCCACCCCCTTACTTTCACGTTTTGCGCGCTCCTCTACCCCGCACTGCAGCGGACACGCGTGCAGTGTTCAAGACGGTGGAGTACACGGATGAGAGCTACCAGCAGGAGCTGGAACACATCGACGAGGTGAGAGATAGAGGAGACGGTATGAGAGGACGCATGAGTGAGAAGTGGTTGAGACCAGAGGGTTGCTCTGGCTGCAACACGGATGAGAGCTACCAGCAGGAGCTGGAACACATCGACGAGGTGAGGCGGGCGAAGGCAGAGACCTGGGGAGCGAGTCCAAACCGGACCATGAGAGGTGGTTGAGAGATCAGAGCAGCACACGGACGAGAGCTACCAGCAGGAGCTGGAACACATCGACGAGGTGAGGCGGCGGGGCAGAGTGAGAGAGGGAGAGTCAAACTCTCTGGCGTGACGAAAGAGCAGTAGCGATTGGGGTGTGTGGAGGGAGGACGCATGCGAGGTGGTTGGGATCAGTATACGGACGAGAGCTACCCACAGGAGGTGGAGCACATCGACGAGGTGAGAGTTAGAGGCGACTCGGCTGTATGGAGGAGGACGCATGAGAGTGGTGGTGAGCAGGGCGGTGTTTGAGACGGTTGAGTACACGAATGAGAGCTACCCGCATGAGAGCATGCGGATGAGAGCTACCCGCAGGAGGTGGAGCACATCGACGAGGTGAGGCGGCGAGACAGAGAGTAGATGGATCACCGAGCGATGCGAAGACAGGCGGCGGGAGCATTTTAAATGTGAGGAGGAGAAAGCGAGACGAAAGGAGTAGACTGTTTAGCTAAAGCGCGTCTTGGAGGTGCGGCAACGGTTGAGATTCAATTTAGTGGGCACAGCGAGAGCACAGCGAGAGCACGCCATGGAGAGGGACGGGACGAGAGGCTGCGTGTGAGGGGGGCGGGTGGAATGCAGACGGATAGGAGGTGCGAACAGGAGGACGAGGCGCGGGTGGAGTGCACGGGCGGTAAGGAGGTACGAGGCGGGAAGGAGGTACGAGCAGGAGGACGAGTGCGTTGAGAGTAAGGGGCTGGGGAGATGCGCGTGAGTGAGGTGCTGGAAAGGGGGATGAGAGGAAAGAGACGTGCGTGCGTGGGTGAGAAGTTTGGTTGTGGAGGAGAGAGTGCAGGGCAAGCAGCCGGGGCAGCGTCTCTTGCCATCAAATGCATGCACTGCTCGTCCCCTCATCGTCTCATCCCCTGATCTGCTCATCTGACACCCTCCCTCGTGTGGTGTGCAGGTGTTTTCGAAGCTGGTGCTCAAGTGCAAGCAGCTGGGGCGGGCCATGCGCATCGGCACACATGCATGCTCTACTTACATGCATTCATCTCCCATCCCGCCCACACAGGTGTTTTCGAAGCTAGTGCTCAAGTGCAAGCAGCTGGGCCGTGCGATGCGCATCGGCACCAACCACGGCAGCCTCTCCGATCGCATCATGAGCTACTATGGCGACTCGCCACGTGGCATGGTGAGTCAGCAGCATTCGTGGCACGGTGAGTCAGCACACGTGGCATGGTGAGTCACTTGCGGGATCCGTTTTACCCCTTTCAACCATGTTACACACACACGCACACCTACATCGTGTATGTGAATCTGCGGTTGAGTTTGCTCGC